TTTTGAAACTTAATCTAATAGAGAAGAAAGACTTCATTTTTAAATGCATCTAGAAACGCTATAGTATAACATATATAAGCTTCTCAATATAAATTATATGTGATATTTTCCTTATGTTTGGTTTAGTTTAACATTATACCTATAAAGGTGCTCCAGAAAAAGAAATACTCAAGATCTCAATGGTTGCAGAATGAAAGTACTTACTGGTCTCTGGACAGAACTCTAGGATTTAATTACATGCCTGATAACTGTATAGAATAGATAAATGAGCGCCTCCAAGAGATGAACAAAAGATATTGTGGTGGTTTTAATGAATATGTCTCCCATAGCCTCCAAGTATTTGGACATTTAGTCCTCAGCAGGTGGCACTGTTTGAGGAGGGTCATGGAACCTTTAGGAGGTACAGCTTTGCTAGAGGAAGCATGTCACTGGGCCTAGGTTTTCAGAGTTCTGAAGCCTTCCAGATTTGCCAGATTTACAGCCTCTTTCTGCTTCTTGTGACTGCTTGAAGATGGGAACTTTGAGATTTCTACACCAGCCACCTCTTCCTGTCATGCCCCTTCCCCCATTATAGACCCTTACTCCTGGAATTGTAAACACAAATAAAGTCTTCTATAAGTTCCCTTGATCATGGTGTCTTATCACAACAACAGAAAAATAACCAATATAGAAGTTGGTACTAGAAAGTGGATTGTTACTGTGAAGAATGTGACAATGTGGGTTTTTGAATGACTGTGGTGGAAGACTTTAGAATTTTGGACTAGAAAAACAGTTGAATGCTGTAAGGCGAGCTTAACAGGCATTTCTAGTAGGAGCTTGGAAGAAAGTGGTGCTGATAGCAAAATAGTCCTAGAGGAAGATAAAGGACTTAAACAGCTACTGGGATGCTTTGGCAAAGCATCTTACTTCCACATGCTGACAGCCCAAGAGCTTTCCTGAGGCTAAGTTGAAATGTAATGAATTAATTTCTTGGGCACAGGAAATTTCAAGGCAACCCAATGTAGAAACGGTGGCATGGCTAATAATGGTGAATATTATGAGGCTCTACAACAAAAAAGAGCAAATGGGACAGAAAGACATAAAAAATCTGCTGTTTGGGTTGTAAAGAAACACTAGGAAGGTTGATGTTGGAGCCAAAGCATGAGTTAAAGGAGAGGCTCTCTTTGATAAGGAGGTTAGAGAGATTAAGGGATGTCTAGAGATTTGTATTTAAACAATGGAAAGAGAACCCTCAGGGTAAGACTCCACCCAGCTAAACTTCCTCATGGAAAGGAAAAATCTAAAGAATTTTTTTCCAGGAAAATTGCAACCCACAAATCTGTTGGCAATGTGGATGAAGTGGGTGGGGTCCACCCAGGGTTGGTAGCCTAAATTGACTGTGTTGTACACCCGGTTCTGGCTTTAGAGGCATCAAAGCTGCAAGAGTGAAGGGGCCTTTGGTTCTTTCTTGGAGTTAGTTCCCAGAGAGTCACTGAGACTTGGATACCTGCAGCAGGGATATCTCTGCAAAAAGAAGGCCCTGACGCACTATTGTGTGAAGCTTTGAAAGTGAAGCCTGATTGGCGGTGGAGACCCTAAGAAAATGTTGGAGATGCTAGAGCTGTAAGACATCTCCCAAGGAGCACTGAATACAGTGAGTGATACCAGCCCAAGAGACAGATCTATGTTGTGAACAGCATCTGGAGCAGCTGAGCCATCTAAGCCTTTGGAAGTAAAGTCCTATACACTGGACATGGAGCTGTAGTATTTGGTGTTTTCCCTGCTGGGTTTCAGTCTTGTTTTGGTCTGGTATTTCCTCACTATGCCCTCATTCCTCCCTTTTGGAATTGGAATATGTATTTTGTTCTAATGTATGGTAGATCTATGCAATCTGTGTTTTGATTTTATAGGGGCTTACAGTTAAGGGATTGCCTTGAGTCTCAGAAGAGATTTTGGATTCTGGACTTTTGTATAGTATTGGGACTGGTAAAGACAATGGGGAGTTTTGAAGGTAGACTAAATGCATTTTCCTTTTGATATGGTCATGGGCCTATGGGGAATAAGGAGTGCAATGTGATGGTTAGAATGAGAGGTTCCAAATGTTTGGACATTTGGTCCCCAGTTTGTGATGCTGTTTAGGGCAAGTCATGGAACTTTTAGGCGGTATGGCCATGCTGGAGGAAGCATGTATGTCACTGAGGATGTGGTTGAGATTTCTTAAGTCTTGTCAGATTCCCAGTCTCAGCTCTGCTTCCTGTGCCTGCTTGAAGATGTGATCTCTTAGCTTTCTACTCCACCACCTCCTGTGACCATGCCTTTCTCCTCATTATGGATTCTCAACTGGAATCTTGTGTCAAATAAATTCTTCCTTTTGTAAACTGCCTTGGTCATGGTGTATTTTCACAGCAACAGAAAAGTAACTAATGTGGATATCATGCTAGCATTTATTTTTTTTAATTATTAATTTGCACATAAAAATCATCTCTAATTTTTTAAAAAAATTATTAGAATAATAAAAATTATTTCTACATACACGATAGTTTTCATTGTTTAACCTGGAATTAAAATGGTTTACATGTTCAAAGTTTTCAAACAGACTACTAAGTTATAATGGCTTCTAGAGGAATTTGATTTATTTTCACCCAGGACTCAGCTGTAAACATTAAAGATGACAAGGTTAAGCATGATGGAAATATTTGTCAGTTACTTGCCACTAACTCAAGCATAAGTGACCTCTTTATTGCCATTCTCACCCCTCTGTGCCATCAGGAAAGTCAGATATGAGTGTATTTTTATAGCTAACTTCATGATTTGCATGTAATCATGTTTCAAATCATGGCTCATTCCTTTGCAATCTAAAACATTCCTTTTTTGGTGTTTGGAAAGGAATAACTTATCTTAATTATTACAGATACTGTTTAATAATATCTTTTAAAGTCTTCTAGCCCTTCAAATGTCAATGACAAATTTAACTAGTGTTCTAATACCAATTCATCAATTTCATGAAAGATCATTCTGTTAAATTATTAACAATTTATAATAAATTTCCCTTTTATTATTGAATATTTTTATATAGCAAAACAGTAAATATGTTTATTGATATCTATGTTAAACTAGAATGAAGCAGAATGGTTTGAATATCTATTTCTACAGTTTATCATTTCATTTCAGCAGTATCCTGCTACTAAGAAGTTAACTACGATATCTTTAAATTAATTGTGATCTTGTCCTCTTCAATTACTGGTTTTTAAAATGACTTTTATCTCAATAAAACAAGGTTACAGATACTGATTTACTAAAAAAGTGCAACTGAAACTCTAGAGTGTATCTTCTCTGTGGGCAGTAAGAAAAAATATATGTGACAGGTTTCATACTGTGTTCATAAAACCAAGAGAAGTGACAGTCTCTCATTTTTACTTAGATCATATCTTAGAGTTGTTTATTTTATGTTCTCAGTTAATAATGGCTTGTAAATTATTAACAGTCATCCATTAAATCTTTCCATTTTACTTTTTCAGGGCAGATTATTTCTTACTTTTATATCACTATAAATGATATGTTTCTAGACTTTTTTATTTTTTGGTCTTTTTGAGACAGGGTCTCCCTGTAGCCCCAGTTGTCCTGGAACTCACTATGTAGACCAGGCTGGCCTTGAACTCAGAGATCTGCCTGCCTCTGCCTCCCGAGTACTGAGATAAAAGGTGTGTGCCACAATGCCCAGCTTCTAGACCTTTAAGAATAAAACATAGGTATTAAATATTATAATTATATAGAAGTTCTTAAACACATAAACCCTCAAAACAATATGCTGAACTTTCTTATATGTTTTTAAAGGAGTCTATGAAAAAGTTTTGTTATTGTCACTACTGATATATGAGATATTAACACTTTGACCATATTCTACTAGAAGAAGATGTTTACATTGTACGGGGTTATATAAAGAACTATCACTAAAGATCCTATGGATAGTGAAAAAGAAAATAAAGGAATAATACAAAAAATTCAATGTTCCAAATTTGGTAGTCTAGAAAATCAGATCAATTATTAAAGGCTATAATTTTTCAAAATCTAAAGAGGTAAAAAACCTGAATATGCCAATATCTATAAAGACATTGTGTCACCAATTTGTAACCTTCCAAACTAAGAAAGACTAGGCTGAGATGAATTCCATCAAAACTTTAAGAAATAAATTATATCAAACTTCTTTCAGAAGAGAAAAACAGAGTACTTTCAATCTCATTCTATGAGCTGTGCATTGCCCAAATACATAATCCAGACAAAAACAGTTATACTACAGATGAATATTTCTCATAAACATAGATGCACTATTAAAACAAAAGGTGATACATTATAAACAACTGTTGATTAATAAAAATTGCAGTGTTTTGCCAGTGACTCCACACAAGTGTGTATCACTGACTACACTGTCCATGTGCATCTTTGCTGTTTATATGTCTTCAAACACTGCATAAGCCAGTGTTTATCCATTGAGAGAAACTGAACATTATATATACCCCAGAATATATCAGGAATAATCTTATAAATCCATAAAATAGTGTAGAGTTCTTTAAGTATTTAAATGCAGAATCTATCAAAAATAGATTTCTCTTTTTAAACTGTAACATACTTCATTACTTGAAACAAATGTTGCTGATAAATTAGTCATGACACTTTTTGTTTTCCTCTGAGGCTGTGGTGGCAGAATATAAGGTCCTGTGCATGCTAACCTAGCACATTAACTATATTCCACGCCCTTGGCCTTTTGAGTTAGGATTTCATTATGTATCCCATGCTGGTGTCAAACTCAGGATCCCCCTGTCTTTGCATGCCAAGTGGTAGAATTATAAGCATATACCTCCATAACCAGTTAAAATGGTCAAATTTTACTCTTAAAATTCAATTCCCACATTTTGATAGCATTAATTATATAATAATTATTTGTATTATTAAGTTCTGGCAAATATAAAAACACTTTGTATGCTATGTTTAAGCAAGCTTGTTGATTTGATCATTGATCATACCTGAGTTAGCTCATTAATATCTACAAGTCCATTACTGTCTGCATCAAAATACTTGAACATCTGATCCACCAATAGCTTCTTCCGAGATATGTCATCACCGTTAGGATTTTCATTTTCTTTCATAATGTACTTTTGGTTTTGTAAGTCTAAAAGCATATTTTTCATCTCGCTGTATTCAGTGGTCATGCAGTTGTCCCCTGTAACAAAAGAACTGAGTTATTTTCAAAGCAGTCTTAGTGAAAAGCAATGATTTTATTAATATTTTAGATGTTGATGTTATATGGAAAATGTATGAGATACATAATTTTTAATTTCCAATTTTCCATACTTTAGTTGGAATTTAGTTGTAGTTTCCATGCAACTTGGACGAAGGAGTGATATGTTTTCAAGGCATGATAGAAAACTTTTGTTTCTGTCACACCGACAAAATATTTACTGTGGTTTCTCAGTGAAAAGTACATTAATACATTCAGAGACATAGAAAAGCATGTGACCAACTAGCTCTAGAATGTAAATTCAATGACTGGGTTTTTAACACTACAGCTCTACACTGATCATTTTACAGGTACAGAAAATGATAGGTGTGGGCTGGAGAGATGGCTCAGTAGTTAAGAGTGCTTGCTGCTCTTCACTCTTCCAAAAGATCAGAGTTTCATTTCCAGCTCCCATAGAGTGCAGCTCATAACCATCTGTAACTCCAGCCCTGGGGGATTCACACCCTGTTTTAGCCTCCTTGGGCACCTGCACTCACATAGCGCATACACACAGACACACATATGTACACACAAATAAAAATAAAATGAATCTCTTTAAGAAAAGAAAATGATGGGCAGATAAGTTAGGTAAAGTGTTAGAGTCTGTCTGATTTTGTATTTAAACTCATATCTTGCTTCAAAAGATTATACCTCACTAGAGTAGACTCCATATTTTAAACATTTGGATTTGATTTGAAGAAATTATCTTGTCTTTCAATCTATCTATGTTTAATATTTTCTTTTCCTGTTTGAAACTATTCTTAATAGCTCTATGCTCACATTCGTATTTGCCAAAAAGCCTGTCATTGATCCCCAGATATTGGTTTATTTCCTTTTAAGTCACTGAGATTATAACATTTGTTTATATTTTATACCTTGAGGTTTTAACTTTGAAAATCTCATTTAAGAGTTAAAAGATAAGTTAATTAAAATAAACATTATCATAAATTTTCTGTATCTCTGTCATATAAAGTATAATAATGGGAGCATTAAAATTTGTTAGAATTATTGTTGTTTCAATGTATCTCAAAAAAAAACCCAAACATAAAGACTAATATAATTGCTCTGATATTTTCACAAAATTATTTTGCAAAGCATTGTACTTCCTGCATCTCCGTGATGTGTCTTATCAAAATAGTATATTTAAAGATAATGCATACTGCTGGCAGCGGTATGACATAAAACACATTATAAAATACAGTGAATAATGCAATCACGAATGAGATTGTAGGTGTTTTATTAGCTGTGAATTTTTTACAACACATTTCAGCTTAAAAAAAAAAACTAGCACTATAATTGCAGGTGATTTGGACAATTAGACTTTGACAGCATCAACAATTTTAAATGAAGATTCTAAAGATGTATAAATATAAGTCTGAGAAGCCTGGGGCGGAAAACCAGTATTTGAAGTTTCATTCCCTTTCAAGGCAAGATAGAAAACAATCTATTCTAGAGAGAAGAGAGACTGTCTTCTTTTTCAAGGACAGTGAAATGACTACTGTTCAGCAATTTTAGTGTTTAGCAATCCTGTCAAGAAGTTCTTTTTCACAACAAAATGCAAACTTGATGCTACAGAATCACTCAATTTTATATTATTCTGTTCTCACTGAAGAATAATAATAAGGAATTGTTTTCATAACGGCAAATCTCACTGCCAAAACAGAGAAGTAATCAAATCCAGAGTCATAGCTAGCAATTTTAGTATCTGGGAGCGCAGAACAAAAAAATGTTTCAGGTATGTGTGTTTGTGTACATTGAATATTATGAAGGAAAGAATATTGTCAGAAAGGACAGCAGAATGATAGCAAGCCATCCCAACAGCCATGCCTTGGATTTCTGTATAGTACCCTTGGTCAACACTGCCTTTATGTCTCTTCTTCTGGGTGTTAGAGGCTGGAGAGTAGGCGTTTGAGGTTGAGTTTAGACTTCAGACAACGGGGAAATCAGAATGTCAGTGAGAAGAGGAATGGAAAGAAGAGGAAAGCATTGCAATTATTTTAATTAATATTTAAATTTGAAGTAGAGTTGTTACTGTTACTCTTATTTATGTGTATGAGTGTTCTATTTGCATATTTAAGTACAGCCATGTATGCAATGCCTGCAGATGCCAGAAGAGGGTATTTGATCCCTTGGATCTGCGTTATCAGTGGTTGTTAACCAGCATGTGTTTCCTTGGAAATAAATGTGGTCTCTGTTCTTAACTGCTGAGATATTTCTCCAGCTCCCTACAGAGGCTTCTTAAAATATGTACATATACTGTTGGGGAACCCTGCTGCTAGGGTTGTAGTCCTTCATGTCCAGATAGCCCTAAGGGGCTTGGTGCCATATGGAAGGACTCCCCTTCTCAGCAGGGGGCCTCCTGCTCTCTTCCTGACTTACCTGCAAAGTGCCGCCAACCACAGATGCCTGACCTCATTTGGAACATGACCTTTGGCATAGTTACCTGGAGTAAAAACTACCCTCAGGTTTTTTCTATATGATAATTAGGCATTTCCCGGTAAATAAAGCATACTATGAGCACCTATCAGCTGAAGCATTGGCTACTGCCTCCACATTATATTTTCCCCTAACATCCCACTAAATAAACGGAGCTGTTTCACTGAATCTAGAGCTGCTTCACTGAGTCTGGAGCTGTTTGCATTATTGAACCTGCCTCCCCGGAAGGGCTTTCTTCAGTCAGTGCTCACTGGCCGTCCTGACCCCACTCCTCGCTTCTGCTCCCTTTGTCCTCGTGAGCGGTGGCCAACGACCCACGAGGAGAGGGAGCAACACCACAATATACAATATAAAAACAACTTAAATGGAGTTACCCTTATAATGAGGGAGGACAATGCTCCTACCAGATACCCCTATGTTAGCAAATCAAGCCCAAGGCTGGGAATGGACTCCCTCCTTTGGAACTGTTGATCGGGGAAGTCCCATAGACCCTCTAACAGTACTGGCTGTTGAAATTGCTCTTTGTTACCTGCTAGAAGAAGACAGTGAGGACCCTCTTGCTCTGAAGATACTATATGTATGAGTGATAGAACAAATAAGAAGAAATTATACTGACTTCGAAGGTTAATCTCTAGTAGCTAAATTATATAGTGCTGGAAGGCACTATGTATGCTACTAGAAAAAAAAAATCATTAATCTTACCCAGCTTTGAACCCTGTGAGCTACAGCAAAGAGAATGGTCTGGCAAGAGATGAACACTGGCACAATAGTGGCAGGAATGTTATGGGAGCATCCAACACTTTCTCAGTAGATTAAGGTCCACTCTCAAGATAAAGCCAATACCTGGCACTGTTATTAGGACCAAGAACCTGTGAATGAATGTGTCACGGGTCATAGGAACCTACTACTATTATTATGCTGAGTGGATTTAACATTAAACTGACTTTTAATGCCTTATTGTTATACTCACAGATCAATATGTCTCTCAACTCTCATCGTAGAAGTTTCTTCTTGAAACAGGTGGCAGTTGACACAGAGACCCATAACTGCTCAATATGCTGAGAATAAAAGACTGCCAAGTGCTCAGTCCTAAATGGGACCCCTTTATCACACCCTCTCCAACCAAGGCTCAGGGAGATTGTGGGAAAGGGGCAGAAATATTGTAAGAGCCAGAAGTGGTGGACAACTAGGAGGAAACTGTCATCCAGACAGCTTGTACATATCAACTCACAGCAATTGTGACAGCATGCACAAAAGCTGCTTAAGCTCAACCAGACAGAATCCAAGTATAGAGCACGGGAGGTAGAAAAGAAGCCCCAGCCCATGGGACTGGGGAGATGACTCAGCAGTTAAGACTACAAGCTATGGTTAACAGCTGTTTTTAACTCCAGTTTCAGGGGATCTGATGCCCTCTTCTGGCCTCCATAGGCATCACACCATGTGATATATATATATATTATATATGGAAAATAAATATACTATATAAAAAAAATTGACCAGACTTTAGGTGATGGACCCACAAAAAAGAGCATTTGGGAAATGCAAATTGGACACCCTAGGTCTTTTTTTAAGAAAGCCAGGCATGGTGGCATGCAGAGGCAGGCAGATCTCTGTGAGTTCAAGGCCAGACTGGTCTACAAAGTGAATTCCAGGCCAGCTGCAGCTAGAGGAAGACCCTGTCTCAAAAAGACTAAAAAAAAAAACAAAAAAACAAAAATGGAGAACATGAATTTGAGGGGTTGGTAAGGTGAGGGTCATGATGAGGGAAGAGGTCTGATTATGAGCAAAATAAACTGTATGAAATGCTCAAAGAACCAATAAATTTTTTTTTCATTTTTAATATTTGTATTGACTTTTGTGAGCTTCATATAATACACTTTAATCAAATTTTGACCCCCGTTCCCACTGCTCATAGTCCCCTCCTCCCACCAGATTTCAGGTATTCTGCCATATATGTTAAGTCCTATCCTGTCAAGCATGAGACCGCAGAGTGCTTGTCCCTGGATTGGACTCCTATTGTAAACCTTACCCACCTGTGGCTCAGGAACCAATTTGGAAGATGAGGCAGAAAGATTATAAGGGCCAGGGTTGGTGCATGAACTAAGAAAACAGAGACTCCCAGGTCACTGGAAACTTGTTCATATGAACTTGCATCAATGATGACAGCATGTACAACTCCCATGACTACTCACTCAGACAATAATCCAGGATGGTTTCGGGAAAATGGGCAGCAGGACCCAATCTTAGCCAAGGAAATATTGGCAAATGATTACTGTGGGGTGAGAGAGAAGAGATCTTCTTAAAGAGAGATGTTAGATAGGTTTACTAGACTCCAATGGATGAACTTGTACCAAGGGACACCTGGATAAATATATATATATATATGTAAATATTTAAATATTCTATTTATTATTTTTATGTGTATGTGTGTATTGCCTGCATGTAGGTAAATGCACCCGTGTCATGTAATGCCTGTGCAGAACAGAAGATATGGTTCTTAGATATGG